CCCAGCCTGGGAGCCTCTCCAGGGAGATGACCCCCCCCACCCCCAAGCCTGTGCCAGGCAGGGGCCTCAAGAGGACAAGATACAGGCCGCCCTGGCCCCCAGACCCCCAGCCCAGGGCGGGGAAGAGCACCCCAGAGGCCCTGGGTGGCGCCCCCACCCGGGCAGTGTCAGCTGCGGGGGGCAGGTGCAGCCCCTCCTTCCTTCCTCCCTCGGGTCTCAGCTCAGGGCCCCTTCCAGCTCCCTGGTGCACACAGCACCCCCCTCCCCGGGCTTTGGACCCCCTCCCCGCCCCACCCCCCCCAGAGCTCATGGGCATGTCCTGTCTAAAGCCGTCCCCCAAACCAAGCTCTGCGGCTGACCCCACCCCAGCCTCCAGCCCACCCCAGCCTCGTGCCTGCTCCCCAAAGCCCCTCCCCTCCCCGGAGGGTTCCCAGCAAGTCCCAAGGGCCTGACCCATGGCTTCGCAAAGGACCCTCTGAGGACAGAGCCCCAAACCCTGTCAGACCGAGGGCTCTGCCGAGGGCGGGGCGTGGGGCCCACCAGGGCTCCCGGGGGAGGTCCCTGCACCCCCCGCCTCCCCTCCCCAAGTCTTCCCTGAACACAGTCTGCGCAGCCAGGTCCCAGATCAGCAAGAAGGGGGGACGAGAGCGGCCCCAGAAGGCTTCTCAGGGAGGGGACCCTGCAGGTGACTAAGGGGGACCCTGCAGGGGCCAAGCAGACGGAGCAGAGGCTGGACCCCCGGCACCGGGGAGGAGGGTCCGGGAAGCGGGGCCCAGCCCCAGCCTAGGGCCGGCCCCCCAAGGGGGCGCTGGCCCCCCACCCCGCACACCCCATCATGGGCAGGAACCCCCCCTGAGCCGCGCCGGGGGCGGGGGCGGCACCGCACCACCCAGGTGCTCCAGTTAGGAGGCCGCGCTTTGGGGTATGAGCTCCTGGCGCCACGGCGCAGGGGGCCGTCGACCCAGAGCCCGTGAGGACGGGGCGGGGCCGGGGACGACCGGGGCACTGAGCGGGGGGGGGGGGGGGGGGGGGCGGCGGGGGGTGCCCAGGAGCCCGAGCGCGCCCCGGCGTCTGGCTTCGAGGAGGGAGGACAGCGTTAAGGGCTGCCTGGGTCTTCCAGGGCGGCCACAGCGCAGAGCACGGAGGCAGGCGCGGAGCCAGGCGGGCGCCCCCTTGAGGCTCCGGGGAGGCGGCCTCCTGCCTCCCCGGCGGCCTGGGTGGCTCAGGCGGCCCTGGGCTTGGGGCCCCGCGCCCTCGGCCCCCATCTCCACCAGGCTCCCCGTCCCGGGTCTCCTCCTCTGGCCGCCTCCCCTTAGGAGGACACTGGCCCCTGGGTTTAGGGTCCCCCGGAGAACCCAGCAGGACCTCGGCTCGCGATCCCGAAATCGCCATGGCCGAGGCCCTTTTCCCAAGCGAGGTCACACCCGCGGGCTCCGGGGCTGAGAATGTGGGGGCCGCCCTCCAGCCTCACAAGCAGCAACGGCCCTGCAAGCAGACGCGGGGCCCTTCGCGGCCCCTGCAAGGCTGAGGGGGCAGAGACACCGCCCCAGGCAGGAGCCCCCGGCCTCGGGGAGTGGGGCCCCACACGCGGTTGCGGGGGTGATGCAGCAGGAAAGCCTAGCGAACGCTGAAGAAGCCGAGGGCTCCGGTCTGGGGTCGGAGCGCGAACCTGAGGGTCCTGACAGGCACAGGCAGGCTCCTGGAGGGAGGACAGGGGGCCCAGCCCCGGGGGCGCCCGGCCCCTGCCCTCCCTGTCCACCTGCTCACCTGGGGCCTTGGGCTGAAGTTGCTGGGAGACTGTTGCCAGGTCACCACTGTGTCCCAGGCAAAGGGCTCACACCAGCTTGGAGGGCAGGTGAGAGGGGCAGGTGGGCCAACAGCGGGGGTCCCGGCTGGGCGCGAGGGCCTGCTGTCCTGTGCCCCGCCTGGCCACCAAGGACCCCGTTGGTCCTCTGGGATTGTGCCCAGGAGCAGAGAGAGACGAGGCGGGGGGCAGGCGAGGGCGCCCCCCTCTGCAAAGGGCCCATGTCCCCCCAGCCACGGCGTGAGGGGCAAGGACCCCGGGGCCAGGCCGGAATGTGCGCGCCTCCTGGGGGTGTCCGCTCCTCGGGACGAGCTCCTCCGCCCAGGACCAAGTCGGTCTCCCAGCCGCCGGACACCTCCGGGGACCCAGGTCCCCGCGGACAGCCCGCCCCTGTCCAGGAGGCGCCAGCCCGTCACGCGACGTGAGCTCCTCCCCAGCACCCATGTGGCCAGCGTGTTTCGGGGGGCGGGGGTGGGGGTGGGGCAGGACCGGGACGCCTCTTCGTTCTCTTGGACGCTTTCTTCAGGTTTGCAAGGGCCTTCCGTTCATCCCGCCGGAACGCCATTTCCTGCCGGTCTTCACACCTGACCAGGTAAAAAGTTCATTTCAAAGTTTGTTATACAGTTACGTTTTCTTAACCTGCCCCAGCGTTGTCCTGACCCAGAAAACCGGCCGCAGCGTTGGCCGTCCCGCCTGCGGACACTGCGTGGCCCGGCCCCTCCCGGGGCCAAGCTCTGTCCCCGTATCCGGCTTCTGTCCCTCGGGGGCTGACCGTGCAGGCTGAGCGCAGGGACCCCGGCCCTGCCGGCCACACAGATGCCGCCGCGCTGCCCACAGGTCTGCCCAGCTTTTGTTTGTTAATTTTAATGACAACAAATGACAACTCGTGGCTTTATTCTTGGTGAAAGTAATAAATACACACTCAGAAAAGCCAAACAGGCAGGAGGCAGTTTCTCCACCGCCGGCAGCCTTGCCCCGCACGGTGCAGCCCCGCCGGGCGACCCCAGGCGTCTCCTGCCAGGGGCCCTCCCCTGGCTCTGCGCCCCCCGCAGCGGGGAGGGACCCCACCCACTTCCCGCAGGGGCCGGGAGGAGAGCTGAGGCCCAGGGGGGAGGTGCCGTGTGTGGCCTCCGGCTCCCGGCCCTTCTCGGGGGCCTCCCTGAGGGGCCCCTGGGGCCCAGCCTCTGCTCCCCGGTGTCCCCGGCCCGTCCACGGTCTCCGGAAGTGCCGTCAGCTCCCGCCGCTCCTCCTCCCTCCCCACGTCCCCCCCACCCCCACCCCCGCCTGCGCCAGGCACTTCCAGCACAGCCCCAGCCCTGGGGGCTCCTCCCGCCCCCCCCGCCTAGTGTGCCCCCGGGATGCTTCCTTCCGGTCGGCCCCGCCCACGTCTCCCCCTCCTCTTCCTCCATGCGTGTCCGTGACTCTCCTGCATGTCGCTGGGGGCATCTATGCCTGTGTGCGCAGCTCTCTGTGTAGATCTGTGTGTCTCCGTGTCTGTGCATGTATACCCGTGCCCGGGGTGGGTGAGTCCGTGTGCCCGCGTCTGTGTCTACCTCTCACCCTGGGGCCTCCCTCAGAGGCCCGCTGGCTCGGGGGCCGCTCGCTGGGTGCCGTGGGCAGGCACTGGATGTGGGAATCTTGTGGGTGGCCCTCTACCCTCTGCAGGGCTCCTCGGACCTGCTGCTCGGCACCGGGAACCAAGCCAGCCCGGACCCTCAGCCTCCCCCGGGGAGCCCTCCCGTTCTGGGCGGGCAGGAGCGCAGGCCTCTCCCCTCCTGCCAGATGCGGCCCCCAGGACCGTGCACGCTTCTGTCCTGAGTGGGGACGAAGGCCCTGGGCAGCATCTCTCGGGTGACCGGCGGGGTGCGTGCACCGTGACCGGCCTCCCCTGGTGGCACCTGCAAGCAGAGGCTGCGGCTCTCTGTCCCGCCTGCCCCGGTGTGCTGGCCTGTGCACTCTGTGTTCCGTCCTTCAGAAAGTCCTCGCCTCCCAAGCCAGCCCCACACTGGGAAGGGCCTGTTAAGGGATGGCTGAGACCTCCCGGAAAGCTCCGCGTTGGTGGCAGGTGCGCAAAGCCAGGCCCCCTTCCGGGGCAGGCCCGGGGCAGCCACGAGGATGCTCGCCGAGCCCCCTCAGACACCGGGCGCCGCCCCTCCCCTCCTGGCCGCCCCCCGACCCCTGAAGGCCTGACGGCCACCTCCTCACAGGAGACCCCGAGGCCAGATCGTCCGTCCCTGCAAGGGAGGCCTCGCCCAGGACGGACAGAACACGGAGACCGCCCTGCCTCTGAGGGGCGTCCGGCCCCCCAGACACCACGGAGCCAGGAGCCGGCGACCAGTGGAAACCCAAGTCCAAGACCCCCGGAGGTGCCCCCGCCCCGGCAGGGGGGCCCTGACCGCGTGCCCGATCCGGGGGCCAGGACGGCGGGCGGCGAGAAGGCCCCACAGACGGGTAGGGGCAGCGTCTTCCCAGAGGTGCCCCCGCCTCAGTGTCCCCTCGCCTGCGGCCCGCTGCACCCACCGCCCGGGGCGGCCCCCTCGGGCCCCGGTCGGCACCAAGAGAGGCAGGCGGTCAAGGACCGCAGGAGTCTGGCGGAGCCGCCCCCGGGTGCCAGGTGACTGCAGTCTTGGGACGGCCTCCCTGGGGCCCGACGCCCCACTCCAGGGAAGGCCGTCTAACGGGGGCCACACGGTCGTGCCGCGGGGGGGGGGGCAGACTGGGGTCCGAGCGGGCCCGGGGAGGGGACGTCTCCTCTCCACAGCCTGGCAGGCACCCTGCTGCCCCACACCCAGCCCCTGCCCAGGGCAGGGCAGCCCCTCACCCCTCACCCCTGCCTGACATGGGTCACCCGTGACGTCACGATGGACATTGTGACCCCCGTCCTCCTGGGCATGTCCCTGCGCCTTGTCTACCCCTAGCTCCAGCCTCACACCCTCGCCCCTTCCCTGTGCCGAGCTCTGCCCTGTTGGTGAGGGGGGACCCTGCCCACTCCAAGGCTGACCCTGAACGTAGGACTGCCCCTCCCTCCTGGGAGGCCCGGCAGGCTCAGGCCCGCGGCTCAGGCCCATGCCCGGGATGGGATGTGCCCGGGGCTGGCAGAAATGGGTGGCAGGGGCCGGCTGGCCTGGAGCCCAGCTGGGACCAGACCTGGGCCAGACCCGGAGTGTGCGCCCCCTTGTTCACAGGCTGGGCCCATGAGAGGCCCATGGGCAGCAGCCAAGGGGACAGGCCGCAGCGCCAGCGGAGCCGGCCGGACCAGGACGCAGGTGGGCTCAGGCAGGGCTGGGAGGGGGCGGGAGCGCCTCCCGCCCGGCCAGAGCCTCCGACCGCCCACCTGTGCACAGACCCCCTGGCGGAGGCTGTCGCTGGCCGGTCCCAGGCCATCCCCCTGGAGAGGCACCCGCTTGGGGCAGAACAGCACCCGCCCAGCACGGGCTGTGGCCCTTTCTTCTACATCGGGGGCACCAACGGGGCCTCAATGTGAGTGGGGGCCTCTGGCCGGACCCAGCCCCACTGCCCCCAGGGCCCAGCCCAGCCTCGGCTCTGCCACCTGACGCCCCCCGCCCCTCCCCCAGGCCCCAAGGCCCCAGGGTCATGGCTGCCCCTCCACCCCCAGAATCAGCTCCTACTGCAAGAGCAAGGGCTGGCAGCGCATCCAGGACGGCCGGCGGGAGGACTACAGGCTCAAGTGGTGTGAGGTCAAGTGCCGGGACAGCTACAGCAGCTTCCGGGAAGGTAGCGGGGGAGCGGGGAAGGGCGGGGGCTCGGGCGGCAGCAGGGGAGAGTGGAGCCGCTCCTCCGCGCGGGCAGCTCGCGGCGGCCTAGGCGGCGAGGCCCTCAGCGGTCACCCGCCTGCTGCCCGGGGCTCTGCTGTACCAGGTGAGCAGCTGCTGTACCAGCTCCCCAACAACAGACTGCTCACCACCAAGATCGGGCTTCTCAGCACCCTCCGCGAGTACTCGAGGATCGTCAGCAAGACATCGCCCTGTGCACAGGCCAAGTATGCCCGCCCTGGGCCCACCCCGCTGCTGGTAATCGACCCACCGTGCGCCCGCCCGTCCCACCAGCCGGCCCCCCACTGCGCCGCACGCCCACCCATCAGACCTGTCTGTCAGTCGCGGGTCCTGACCACCTCCCACGCCGATCCACCCACCCGTCTTCCCACGGACCCATCCACGCACTCACCGATCTGTCTTCAGTCCAAACACCTGCCGCCCATTACACCCCCGCCGCCCCCGGAGCCCTGACACGCACCCACCACGGAGCCCCCCACTGGTGTCCCTCACTTAGCCATTCGCGGCCCACCGCACCCACGTCGGTCCACCCCGCCCCGCCCCCTCAGGCCCCCCGCACCGCAGTCCGCCTGTGCCCTGCCCCCGCGCGCGGCCTCCTCTGCCTGGTGTCTGTCCGCCTACTCGCCCACCCACTGCCCAACCATTTAGCCCCCCTCCCAGCCACCGTCCACCCCCACCCGGCAGGCAGCCCACCGCACCCGGCCACCACGACCCGGCCTTTCGTCAGCGGGCCTGGCTGTCCACCTCCACCCTCCCCGCGTGGGTCAGCAATGCCCACCCATTCCCCCCCGGGCACTGCTGCCCACCAGGCCGCCTGCTGGTCCTTCCACCTGCTTCGGTCCCTGTCCACTTACCCAGCCACCACCCACCCGCCTGCCTCAGCCCCCACCGGTCCCCGCCCCTCCAGACACACCCCACCCTTCCCGCCCACACCGCTCGGCCGGCCCAGGTCAGGCCCTCCCCGTGTCCCCCTGGGGAACAGATCTGGAAAGGACCCAGCATGCGCCTGCCAGGAGCTACCCTAGACGAGCCCAGATTGCCTTGGGCCACAGAGGGGGACCTACTCCGCTCAGCTGGGAGGGGCCCCTCTGTCCTAAACTGAAGGGTGGGCTGCTGGGCCACAGCAAAGGGCTGAGGGGCATCCCAGGCCGGCGGGAAAGGCTTGCGCCGGCCGCGAGCACTCAGGACCCCGCGCTTGCTGCGGGCCGGGCACTGCCTGCGCTGACTGCTCACGAGTGCCTGAGCCCTGCGGGTAGCAGAGCAGCGGGGGACGGGGCGAGGGAGTGGGAGTGGGAGAGGGGCCGGTGCGGAGGAGCAGCCCGCAGAGAAGCCAGGTGCACACGGAGCGCTGCAAGGGTGCTCTGGTCAGGGAACAGGGTGCAAGGCTTCAGAGAGAACAGCCGGAGGTCGGGGGGGGGGGCGTAGAGGACCCCTGGGAGCCTGGAGCCCGACCCGCTCCCCGGGCCAAGCTCCCTCCAGGTCAGACCCCTAGAACGCCGGCCACGCCTGCAGGGGAGGGAGAGCCCTCCTCGGGTCTCCCCACCACCCTGCTCCCCCAGGTTCCTGAAAATGGAAGAGTTTTTCCCGGAGACCTACCGTCTGGACATCAGACACGAGAGGGAGGCGTTCTTCGCGCTCTTTGACGGTGAGAGGCTGCAGGACGCCAGGCCGGCTCCGGGGAGACGCGTTCGGGGCGGATCCAAGGCCGGGGCGTGGTTTGGAAGGGGCCGGGTGGGGCGAGATCCCCGAGGGGCGGGTGGAGCCCGGTGGGCGGAGTCACGGATGCCGGCGCCGCTGGGTGGGGGTCTGAGCGGGGCGTGGTCCAGAGCGTAGAGTGCGGTTAAGGTCGGGGGCGTGGCCATGTTTGGGAAGGGCGTGGTCGTGTTTGGAGGTGGGCGGGGCGCTGCCCCAGACTGGGTGTGGTCCGGGCCGGGCTGTGTGGGCGGGGCTGATGGGCAGGGTCCGGGCAGGGTCCGGGCAGGGTCCGGGCAGTGGGCGGCTGGCGACTCTGGCGGCTCTCTCCGCAGAGACCCAGACCTGGATCTGCAAGCCCACCGCTTCCAACCAGGGCAAAGGCATCTTTCTGCTCAGGAACCAGGAGGAAGTCGCCGCCCTCCAGGCCAAGACCCAGAGCATCGAGGAAGACCCCTTCCACCGCAAGATGTCGTTCCGGGCGCCTCAGGCTCGGGTTGTGCAGAGGTGCTGGGCCACAAGGGGCGTTCGTGGGTGTGGGGCTGCCCCTGGGCCCTGCGGGTGCCTTTGAGGGACTCATGGGGGCCTCGGAACCCACAGAGGAGCCCGTGGCTGTGGAAGGCGCCAGTGCCCCCAGCGGAGCCCCTGAGTAGCCAGCGGAGCCGGAGGCGACACTTCCAGCGGTGGCAGAGGGACTGGGCCCCCAGGACAGAGGCTCCCGGATGTGGTGTGGGGGGTGCCTGGCCGGGCGGTCTGCAGCCGGGCACCGCTCCTCTGTCCTGCAGGGCGCCCCCGCAGGCAGCCGCCGCCTTCAGGCCTGCAGCCAGAGCTGGTCCCTCTCCCACCCTGCGCTGCCTCCGGGCAGGTCCAGACCCCAGTGTCACCCCAGAAAGGTCTCTCTGGAGCCCCCATCTGCCAACAGGACCCCAGTCCTGTCTCGGCCGCAGTCTGCCACCCGCCTGTCCCCACGGCCGTCCCAAGCCGCGGCTCCCAACCCCTGTGTCTTGAGTCCTACAGCTTCCTCCACCCGGGAGGTCCCCTCCCTGCCTCTCCAGTGCCACTCGCCCTTAAGGCACAATGTCAGCCCCGCCGCCTCCTCTGGGCAGTCCGCCCTGCCCAGGGGCCTAGTCTCCCAGTGAGAGCTGCAGCCCCAGGGGGCGGAGATCCAGGGACTCCCTGAACGGCTCAGGCTCGGAAACGTCCCCTGCCAACGGATATGCGCGCAGCTGGCGGGGTGGGGGGGCACGGAGCCCACAGGCCACACCTGGGACCTGTGGGGGGATCCTGAGGAACGGCCCAGGCCCGGCTGGGGCAGTGGGACACGCACGGGCCAGGCTGGCCCTGTGCTCAGCCCTCATGCGCCCACCAGGTACATCCAGAACCCGCTGCTGCTGGACGGGAAGAAGTTCGACGTGCGCGCCTACCTGCTCATCGCCTGCGCCGCGCCGTATGTGGTCCTCTTTGGCCACGGCTATGTGCGCCTCACGCTCAGCCTTTACGATCCCCATTCTCCAGACCTGAGCGGCCACTTGACCAACCAGGTGAGGGCAGCCTTGGGACAAGCTCACTGCCCAGGAACTCAGACGTGGCTCGGACCGTAGGTGGCCCAGCCCCTGAGCTGGCCAGGGCGGCCCCTACCTGCGGTCAGCGGCCCCCGCAGGGTGTGCAGGGAGGGGACCCGAGCCCTGCCCCCACGCAGAGCCGTCCGGTTCCCCGGGTGCGGGTGAGGCTTGGGGAGGGCTGGGCGCTGGGGGGAGGGTCTCCGTGAGGACCCAAGTGCAGAGGGCCTGTGGGCCGGAGGCCTCCGTGGAGGGTCGCCAGGGAGGAGTCTAGGCAGGGGCCTGCGTGAGGAAGGGGGGGGACTTGGTGGCTGCGGAGGTCTCCCTGGGAGGGCCGCTGCCGGATGTCCCAGGGGCAGAGCCTCTGGGTGCTCTGGGGCGAGGTCTCCAGGCGCCGCCCCCCGCCCCCAGTTCATGCAGAAGAAGAGCCCCCTGTACGTGCTCCTGAAGGAGGACACGGTGTGGAGCATGGAGCGCCTCAACCGCTACATCAACGACAAGTTCCAGGAGACCAGAGGCCTCCCCCGAGACTGGGTCTTCACCACCTTCACGGTCCGTGGGCCCCTCGCCACCCCTCACCTGGCGGGGGGAGCCCAGGGCTGAGACCCCTTAGGGGGTGCGAGGGCAGGGCAGGGTCTCCCTTGGGGCCCCGGGCAGGGGTGCGTCTGTACTGAAGAGCGAGTCTCCCGCTGTGCCTGGGTGGTGGGGGCCGCCCCGAGGCACCTCCGTGCCCCCCTTTGGGACAGTTCACACCCCCAGCAGCGCCGCGGCCCCACATCCTGGCCAACATGCTCCCGGTTTTCAATAGTCGCTGGCTGGGTGTGAAGTGGTATCTCCTTGTGAGTTTGATTTGTATGTTGTTAATGACAATGATGTTGAATAGCTTTTCAAGTGTTTATTGGCCCTCCGTATACCTGCTTTGGAAAACTTTCTGTTCAGATCTGTCCTCCTTCTTCCCTGTCACAGTTCTTTAGAGATTCTGGGTGCTGAACCCTTATCAGATGCATCTCCTCCTGTTCTGTGAGCTCTTTTTTCCCTGTCTTGACAAAGTCCTTTTTTGAACAACAGTTTTAGAGTTGGAGGAAGTGTGATTTTCATCCAGCTCTTCTTTGGTTATTCATGCCTTCGATGTCCTATCTGAGAATCCATTGCCAAATCCATGGATTTGATTTATACATGTGTCTTCTTCCAAAAGTTTTTTTTTAGTTTAGCTCTTGCATTTATTTAGGTCATTGGCTATTTCCGATTATTTGTTGCACAGGGTATGAGGCAGGGGTCCAAGTTCATTCCTTCGCGTGTGGCCATCCCGTGTCCCAGCTCCATTTGCCGAGTCCTCGTTGGGTTGATCTCCGCTCTCACACCCCTGTTCCAGGGGAGGGGGCGTGTCTACCGCTGAGCGCGTGCCGCATGTTTGAGGCTGTAGCTTCACCCTCTTTGTGTGTCGTGTTACGCGGCTTGATTTCCCTGTGATGAGCCCCTCTTGCATTTCTGGGGTAAATCTCATCGGACCCAGTGCCTCGCCCTTTAAATGCGCTTCCGGGTTCGGCTTGGTTCATCACTGGGCGCTTTGGCGTCCGCACTCCCGCGCCCGGCTGACGAGGAGTGTTCCTCTCCGGGGCACGGTGGTTTGGCATGTGTCTTCTCTGTCACTTTGAAGAGTGTCTGAAAATTTCGTGTTACTTATTTAAATTTTTGGAAGAATTCACCAGCAAGGCCACCTGTCCGGGGCTTTTCTATTGGGAAATTTTGTTTCTTATTATTATCATTCATTCTTAGTATTATTACTACTTCAACCTTTACTTGTGAGAAGTTATATTCAGATTTTCTAATTCTTGTTGGCTCAGGCCAATTAGTTTGTCCTTTCTAGGAATTTGTCCATTTCTTCTAAGTTGCCTAATTTGTTTAAAATACAATTGTTCGTAGTCTTCTATGGACAATTATAATCCTTGCTATAATCATTTTCATCTCGTGTAAGGTCTTCCTTTCTTGATTTTAGTAATTTCTCTTCTTTCTTTTTGTCTTGGTCAATCTAGGTAAGAGTGTGTCTTTTCATTGAGCCAGCTTTTGGTTTCATTGATTTTTCTCTAGTGTTTTCTATTTTCCGTTCCATGTGCATCCACTCTAGTCTGTTCTTTGGGTTTCGTTTTCTCTTCTTTTTCTAGTTTCTCAAGGCCGACGGTTAGGTCATTGATTCGAGAGCTTCCTTCTTGGTGAGTGCAGTGTTTTCAGCCGTAACTGCCCTCTGAGCGCCGCTTGCGCTGCCTGCCGTACGACCGCGTGTCCTCCGTTCTTGTTTGTGTTTGTTAAGAGTGTGTTAATTTTCACATATTTCTGGATTTTCCAATTTTTCTTCTCTTATTAATGTTTAATTTCATTCCACTGTGGTCCGAGGACGCACCTGTATGGTGCCAACCCTTTAAAAAATGACGGAATCCTGTTTTGTGTCCTGGAGAAGGTTCCATGTGCACTTGAGAAGAACGTGTATTTGACTCTCGGGGTGGAGCTTCCGTAGATGCCTTGTGGTTGAGCGTGTTGTTCACGTCTTCTATTGGCACTTGCTACCTTCTGTCTACGTGTCTGCACGTCGTGGAACGTGGGGTCCTGAAGCCTCCAGCCATCACTGTTGGGTTGTCTGTGCCCTCCTGCAGCCCTGTCGGCTTGCGCTGTACGGATTTTGAGGCTCTTTCATTAGCTGCGTATATGTTTATAATTACTACCTCCTGATTTATCACAGTAAAGTGTACTTTTTTCTTAATAGTCTCAATGGTTGGCTCACCATCTGTTTTCTCTGGTATCAGTGTAACCGCTCCAGCTCTCTTTTGGCTGCTGTTGACACGATATGTCTTTTCCCACCTTTTCACTTTCACCTTCTCTGCGTCTTTGACTCTGAAGCCTCCTAGGAAGCATATCGAGGGGTTTTATGCAGTTGGCCTGTCTCTGCCTCTTATTGGGAAAGTCTGACTCACATTTAACATAATTGCTGATGAGGTAGGGTTTACAGCTGCAATTTTGCTATTTGTTTTTTGTCTGTCTTATAGCAGCTTTGTTTCTCTGTTCTTTTGTTATTGCCTCCTTCTGTGTTACATAAATATGTATTTTGTAGTATAGCATTTTGTAAAAGATTTTATTTATTTACTTGTAGAGAGAGGGGAAGGGAGGGAGAAAGAGAGGGGGAGAAATAGCAGTCTGTGGCCGCCTCTTGTGCACCCCCTGCTGGGGACCTGGCCTGCAGCCCGGGCCTGGACCCTGACTGGGAATCGAACCTGTGACCTTTAGGTGTGCAAGCTGGTGCTCAGGCCACTGAGCCACACCAGCTGGGGTTCTTGTTCATTGGCGAAGGGTGGTTTTGCTGGATGCAGGGTCCTTGGTGGCTGATGGGTTTGTTCTCCACGGTTTCTGACGATCTCACGAGGGTTCCCCGAGACGAGTCCCTTCTCTGCTGACAGCCACCGTCTCTCTTTGCCTTTTGCAAGTTGGCTTCTGCCGCGCTGGGTCCGTCCCATCTGAGTTTACCCTCTTTGAAGCTCATGGGCCTTTTCAGACGTGCAGACAGTTTTCATCAAATTCGGGACCTTCCCTGTCATCATTACTTCAGACGCCCTCCCTGCCGCTTTCTCTCCTTCCAGAGAGCCAGTCTGCTTGGGGTGCCCGCAGGTCTCCGCACCTTTCTCTATTCTCCTCCCTCCCTCCTGCCCCTCAGGCTGGACCTGGCCGGTCTTCAGACAGCACCAGTCTGCGGTTCAGCCCCTCTGGTGAATCCCAAATTCTGGGCGTCCCACTTCCAACTGCAGAATGTCCACCTGGTTCCCCTTTCTCAGTTACGCTTCCTCCCTGCGGTCGTCTGTTGGGCCCACGTCCCCTCTGCCGTGCGCCCGCCGGGGACGCCGGCTTTCCCGGGGCCGGCCCTGAGCGGGGAAGCGGGGCTCACACTGACGCGGCAGCTCAGGGCGCTGCCAAGCGCGCTGTTCTGACCGGGGCTCAAGCCTTTTCTTGGATATGCACTCCTCAAGTTGCGGCACGCCTCTGGTTCATCGCCAGAGTTCTGAAAACCTGATTCTGACCATTTCTGCCAGCGCCTCTCGTGGTGGCATCTGCAGAGCAGCCGTTTTCAGACCTCTGACGTTCTCACCAAGGTTCTCCTCGTCTGTCTTGATCCCACTCCATGAGGCGGCTTCGCTCTCTTGTGCCTCTGAGACACTCGTCAAGGTCACAGCGAACTCCATACGGCCACACCAGGGGTCAGGGCCCAGCCTGACCCGCCAGCCACTTTGGACACCCGCTGTGCTCCTTCCCGTGGCTCCCAGGGACTCGCCCCTCCCTCCCGGCCTCTGCTCTCTGCAGGCCCAGGGCTCGGCAGGAGCTCTTTATCCGCACCCATCGGTGGTGAACCGGGCCCCGGCTTCAAATGCCATCCATGTGCTCAAGACCCGTATTTGAACTCCCAGCCCTGACCTCTCCCCCGACCCTGAGCCTGAAACCCCAGGACCCGCCACCGCCTCCCCCGCAGCTCACGTCTCAGCCACCGCGGCCGCCCCGCCGCTCCTCAGCGGGGGCTCTATCCTGGCAGAGCTTCAGACCAGACACCTAGGGACAGCCCTTCACTCCCTGCTCCACGGCTCACGACCCGCTCGCCGGCAGCTCGGGCTGGCTCTGCCGCGAAGCCCATTCGGAACCGCTCCCGCCACCTCTAGCTGCCTGAGCCGCTGCCGCCTCCCCCTGCACGGCGGCAGCGGCTTCCCGGCCCCTCTGGCCTCTGTCAGCAGAGCAGTCCCCTGTGCCCCTCCTGGGCTCCACCCTCCAACAGCTCCGGCCTCAGAGGGAAAGGCAAGGCCCTCGCCTGTCCCGCGGAGGGACCGCCACCAGCCTGGTCCCCGGCTCCCCCACGCCTCAGGCGTGCGCAGCGGTCCCGTGCCCCGCCCCTCAGCTCCACCGTCCTGCCTTCCGTCCTTGCTTGCTGGCTACCTGGCGAGGCTCATGCGGGCCCCTTTGCACGCCACAAACACCCCCCAGAACCCCCATCCCACACCGGACTTCACGTTCCCCATCAGCACCTGTTGCCCAAGACGCTGTGCGAAGTGTGTCAGACCCGCAGGTCCCGGCCCGGCTGCGGGCCGCCCGCCCAAGGGCAGACGCCCCTCCTCAGACAGTCTCTGCTCTTGCCCCTGGGTCCCCGCCACGCAGCCCGGGCCCAGCCTGTGTGTTGAATGAGCGAAACAAGAGGGACAGGGCCTCTACCCAAGCGCCTGTTTCACACTCCGGAAGTGCGGCCGCGCTGGCAGGCGTGGCCACACGGGGGCGCTGGGCGGTAGCTGAGGGGAGGGCAGGGGGGCCTGCAGGCGAGGGGCGTGGCTGCGGCTGCTCCGACAGGGAGGTGCCGTCGGGGGCCCACAGGTGGCAGGCACCCAGCCGCCCCTCCCTTCCCCGCCCGCAGAAGCGGATGCAGCAGATCATGGTCCACTGCTTCCTGGCCGCCAAGTCCAAGCTCGAGGGGAAGCTGGGCTACTTTGACCTCATCGGCTGTGACTTTTTGATCGATGACAACTTCAAGGTGACACTGAGGCATCCCAGGGTGGGGGGGGCCTGGTCGGCAGGCGCAAGGAGGCAGGGGAGTCTGTGCACAGCCTGACCACCCAGGCAGCCCCGGGGGTGGGGGTCTCTGCAGGCACACGGCCCCAGCACCGGGGGTGATCAGGAGGCTTTGCTCCTCCGGTGGCGAGGGTGGCTTTCCAGGCCAGACCCTCGGACCCTTAGAGTTCCAGCCCTTGGGCACATGTGGGGAGCGAGGCCCTAGAAGAGCAGCGACCTGCCCGGGGTCACCTGCTTGCCCAGGACCCCGGCCCAGGCCGCCTGCTGGCCGGCGGGCGGGCGGGCGCGGCCGCTGACCAGTGCCCGGCCCAGGTGTGGCTGCTGGAGATGAACGCCAACCCCGCCCTGCACACCAACTGCGAGGCCCTGAAGGAGGCGGTTCCCCGCGTGGTCGAGGAGACCCTGGGTGAGGCCCCCGCCACCACCTGCACGGCTTGCAGGAGCCATCCGCCTTCCCCCAAGTTCGGACTCCCACAAACCTCGCTCTCCACCCCTGGACCCACCTGGGCCCCCTCACCACTCCCTCACCTCCTCCTTTGCCCCCAGAACCTGCACCCCAGCCCTGCAAACGGGATGCTGGAGAGGCTGGGTCCGGCCCCCCTCACCCACCCGCGCCAATGCTGCCCACTCACTGCCGCCCTCCCCTGCCCCTCAGACCTGGCGCTGGAGACCTTCCAGAAGAGCTTGTGCGGCCAGAGGATGTTGCCGCTGCTCTCGCAGCGCCACTTCGTGCTCTTACTCAACGGCGAGACGGACGGGCGGCGCCCGGGGAGCTCCCGCAGCGTCCCCCGACAGCCGGCGCGGCCGGCCTGCGGGGCCGCATCCCCCGCGCCGCCCACGCGCGCGGCAGACCCGCCGGGCGCGCGCAGGCCCGGGCGGCCCCGCTCCGCGCAGGGGCGCCCCCGGCCTCGCTCCTCCGGCCCCGACGGCGCCCCGGGAGGCGAGCGGCGGAGAGCGGACCGCAGGGACCCGGCGCGGGAGTTCTCTCTGGGACCCGCGGAGGAGGACCGCGAGGGGAGCAGGGGCGAGGACCATCGCGGCTCCTAGCGCCCCCCTCGCCGTGCCCCCGCAGGACCCATAAAGGCTACTTTGTAACAAGTGCGGCCTCCAAGGCTGATCGGTGCCTCCTGGGGTTCCCCAGCCCCAGCGCCCCTCCCTCGCGGCTGAGACCTGCCTTGGGAGGCACACGGGGTCGAGGGAGGTGGGTGGCCGTGGAGATGGGCTTCCACAGCGGCCGCTCGGCTCGTCCTGGGGCTGCCTCCGCCTGGGGAAGCCGCCCGTGTCCCTTGCCCAGGGACCCTCCTCCTGCGGCCCAACCCACGGGACCCCACCCCAGTAAAGGGGTCTGGGGTCCCCCTGAATTCCCAAAGGGGAGGGCTCCCTTAACCCAGGGCTGCTGCTCAGGGCCACCTAGGCCTTCCCGCCCCACCCTCTCCTGCCTCTGCCCAGGCCACCAGGCCCTCTGTCTCTGCCACCCAGGGGCCCCGACTCCCAGTGGGACGCGGCCTGGAGCCTCGGCCGGGGGGCGGGGCACATCCCAGGGTGGGGAGCGCCCTGAGGACCCACCCTCGCCATCACTGGGCGACATCGTGATCCCGTGGGCCCAGCCCCAAGGGCTGGGTGATGCAGCCTCTGGTGTGTCCAAGCGCCTGACCACTGAGCCTCCCCCCTGCTCCCCAGCCGTGCTGCGCCCTCCCGGGCCCAAACCCAGGGTCCAGGCAGCCGCGCCCTAGGCCCACCCCCCGTGGGCACGCTCTCCTCGCCCCCTGGCGAGGGGTCAGCCGAGCCACACGCGCTCCTGACCCACCCCTAAACTCCGCGGCCTCCGCCGCAGCTAGGAGGGGCTGCTGGCCCCCTCGGGGCTCTCGCGTGGGCGCTCCGGCTGGGAGGGGCTCGCAGCCGCCCTCCCTCGCGCGCCACGCCGTCGCTACCGCCGGCAGAGGCAGCTGCAATCGGGTGCGACGGCCGCGGCACCACCAGGGGGCGCCCAGCGCCGCTGCGCGTCCGCCCGTCCGCGGGAGCCGCAGCCGCGGAGCCGGGGCGCTGGGGCTCAGGGAGGTAAAGCGAGCCCTGGGGTCACGGGGTCACGGGGCCAGCGAGGGGCCCACGGCTGCGGCCAGGGAGCAGGTCCCAGCCGCCGACCCACCGCACCCCTCATCGTCCCGCTGGCTGCCGTGGCTTGGAGTGTGGGGCACCCAGGCAAGAGGCCACGCTATGGCCAGGGCCCAGGAGCCTGAGTCCCCGGCAGCGTGTCTGGTGGTCTCTCCTGGGGGCCACGCTCAGCTACTGCTGGCCCTGCAGCCCAGCCGGCCTGCTCTGCACCCCAGGCTGGGGCTGGACTGGGCCTTCCTCAGGGGGAGGGGCCTCAGGGGCAGGCTGAGGGCATCCGGGCAAAGCCCACCCCTGGGCCTCCGGGGTCGCGGCCATGTTCCCTGCAGGCACCAGGCTGCTACACAGCCGTGCCGCCCGAGGGCCACCCCTCAGCCGGCCCATGGGACCTTTGCCGGCCGTGCCTCAGCTCCCCGACCCCCCACCCCCGCCGTGTGTCCCTGCCTTCGGGCCCTCTGCCCCTGTGCTGTCTCCTGGCTGGAGAGGTGGCCCTCAGTGGCATCAGTGCCATCCCAGGACGTCCCAGCGCCCCCGGGCGGAGCCGACCTGTGGCCGCGGGGCTCGTGGGGGTGGCCTGAGTCCTCAGGAAGACACTGGCCCCGTGCCTCCGCCATCCCTGGACGCTGAGGGCGGGCAGTGGCCCGTGGAGACCTGTGACGTGCCAGCTGGCAGAGCGGCCTGCCCTGTCGTGGTCAGCCCCCACCCTGAGGCTCCCACCAAAGCGGGGGGCGCGGCTGCTCTTAGGTTCCCGGTGCCCCCAAAGGCCCGAGTGTCCGGTGAGGGGTCCCTAGAGCCACGGCCGTTCGCCCCCAGAGACGACGGCCACATCGCCCACGTTCAGGGCCTGAAGGGCCCGGGGCGAGGAGGACGGGCGACGGAGCTGGGGTGGCGCGGACACGCGTGACCACGGGCCGGCCCGGCCCGGCTGGCCGCCGCTGCCAAAGCCTGTGCTCGAGATGCAGGTGCTGACGTCCAGGAAAGTGGTTTGTTTGGGTGCTGCCCCCTGGAAGATGGGGACTCTCATCTCAGCCCGTCCCCCCATCCCAGGGCGGCAGAGGCGCTTACAGGAGGGAGGGGGACAGAGCCGAGAGCCCAAGCGAGGGGCTGCACAGTTCACCACGCGCCGCCGAGCGCAGGCCCTTCCTCCAAGGCGGGTGCCAGTCTGGTGCGTCCTCCTGGCTTAGCCACCTTGGCTTCACGTCATCCTGGCTCCCGGTTGAAGGTCAGCATATCCCCCAGAGCTGGGACGCCTGCGTGTCTGAGTCTGTGTCTTCTGAGGTTAGTTTCTAGAACTCTTATACCAGCACGCTGTTTATCTGTAAGCCACATACTAATCTGCACTTACAGACATGACGTCAAAAGAGCGGCGGGTGGGTTCCAGCTCACCACTGTTCCAACGTTCTGCGGGCCCCACGGGGCCCCCGGCACCCGCGGGTGGGAGGTGCTCTCCCCATACTCGAAGACGTGGTGGGAAGCAGGCACGGCTGAGGCAGCCGGAAACCCTGGGAGGGGAAGGCGTGGCCCCGGGTGCCCGGGACAGGGCCACACGCCGCTCCTGGGGGCAGCCAGGGACCACCTGCCCTGGACGGCCCGCTGCGCTGTCCTGGGACCAGTTGTCTGGGATGGCCCTCCTCCCTGCTCCCTCCGAGGGTCTCTGTCCAGCTGGGGCCCCAACCTCAGTAAGGAGAAGGGCAGGTGAAGGGTGGGGAGCTTCTGAGGCCGGAAGCGCTTCTGGGAACACAGGGCGGCTTCTGGATCCTTATCTGAGACTGAGCTCCAACCCCGGGGGGAGGGGCTGTGGTTTTCCGGAGCAGCTGGAGCCCTCCTGCGGGCGGAGGGCCTTGGGTGGGCAGTCTCGCCTTGGGGTCTCTCTAGGACTTGGTGGCCCGGGAGGTCAGGCCAGGCTACCAGCCTCTGCAGGTGGCCCACACCTGCCCCCAGGCCAGCAGGCTGGCTGAGGGGGAGGGGAGGCAGCCTCCCCCAGCCCCCCTACCCCGTCCCCTGCCCCTGAGCTTGGAGCTGCTTGGGCCTCTTCAGCTGACACCCTCAGCCGCCTCCCCACACGGGGCCCCCACCTTTCCAGGGCAAAGCCAGGCCGGCCCTGCAGGCCCTGGGGCCTGGGGGCTCCAAGGAGGCTGCCTGATTAGAGAGAGGAGCCTGGGGGCAGGGAGCGAGGGCGACTGTGGGGTAGGGGGCATCTCTGCTGGGCCCCGGGGCGGGGGGAGGGAACCACCCCCAGGGCCCCGCGCTCCCTAGGGCAGGTGCCTCCTGCCCAGCCCCCCGCACCCCCGCCCCGCTGCCGCTGGAATGCCCCACCGCTCTGCATCACCCCGGCCGCCCCCACCCCTGGCTGACGTCTGGCTGCTGCGAGGAGTTTCCATGCTGAGTCAGCCCGGCCTCTCCCACCTGCCAGTCCCCTCGGGATGTGGGTGTGGGCGGGCCGCGGGCCACCGGTGGTTTCTGCAGAAGGCCCTCTGAGACCCTGACGCCTGGCTGCTCCTGGGCCGCTGGGCTGGGCTGGGCTGGGCTGGGGACCCCTCCCCCGCCCCCCTCCGGGGGCAGCCTCTGCAGGTGCCTGAGGAGGGTCCAGGGCGGCCTTGACCGCTGCCCACAGGCATGGAGCCGTCCAGGGGCCCAGGTGGCGGGTGGGAGCCCACGGAGGGCGGGCGAGGGGTTGGCAGGACAGGAGACCTCGCCTGGCGACCCAGTGGGGGGGGGGGGGCGCCGGTCCCAGGGAGGCCGCCTGCTCTGAGCGCTCCCCGCCCTCCCCCCACCAGCTGCCCTCACGCTCCCCCTGACTAGCTAACCCGCCTGGACGCTCCCCAGGGACGTGGGCTCCGTGGGTGCCCCCCGGTGGGCACAGGGAAGGCGCCCGGGCACACACATCTCCCCGGGGGGCAAAGTCGTGCAGGTGCCCCCTCTCCTCCCAGGGGCGCCGGGCGGGGGGGGCAGTGCCCCAGGGGGGACGTGCCCAGAGCCCCTTTCGCCTCCGCCCGCCTGCTGCGAGCCAAGCCCTTCTGGCCCCTGGGACTGGGGCGGCGAGAACCACCGAGTCGGGAGGGCGGGGTGCTGGAGCCCTGGGGCAGCCGGCGGGGGGCCCGGCACGCTGCCACCTGGAGGGCGCTGCCGCGGAGACGGGCCCCCACCGGCCCACCTTCCACGCTGCGGCCCGTGCCAAGGAGCCCTTATCAGAGCTCCCCGGGTGCCAGCCCTGCCTGGGGGCTGGGAGGGTCACGGAGCCACACTCTGAGGGAGGCGGCGGGGCCGGGAGGCGGGGCTGGGGCCAAAGGCAGGCCACTCACCCACCCAGAGGCGGCCCAAATGACACTCGGGCAGGCACCTCTCAGGGACCAGGCTGAGTGCCCAGCCCGAACCAAGTCCGGGGCCGTGGTGGCCCTGAGATCGGATGCAGGCCCAGGTCCCAGCTACCCTGGCGCGTGCCAGGCCAGAGAGCAGCGGAGGGGCACAGGGGCGGCTGTCCAGCCCCGCCCCGCCCCCGGCACGCCGGCCGAGCCCCGGGTTCCTGCCCAGCTTCTGCTCCCGAACCCTGACCCCACCTCGTCTGGGAGGGACAGTGGCTGCTGCCGGGGGGGCCCTGGAGCCCATGCCTCATGTCCCCCCTCCCGCAGCACGCGTCCGCGCAGGTCACTGGACAAGTGTTTATTGTCTCTGGCCTGTCCTCGGCCGCACGTGGACTCCAGTCCAGGGGCCCACAGGCCCCGCCCCACGGGGGCCGCAGGGGAGGGAAGCAGCCACACCCCCGTCCTGGTCCAGCGACAGCTGCTGCCTCGTCTGCATGGTCTGGGGAGGCCCCGCTGTCACCGCCCACACCCACTTCCACCGTCGAGGGGAGCAGGGCCGGGCCAGATCCAGGCCCCTCCGAGTGCCGAGGGCCCTGGCCCCTGAGGGGCGGCCCGGGGCCGGTGCCTGGGAGATCGGGTTCAAGGTCCACTGCGCCGGAAGGCGCCAGGCCTCAGACCCACGGGCTCCCCAGCGGGCCCTCGTCGCCCGCCTTGTCCTCCGACAGCTGCTCCCCTCGCTCCTCCTCGGGAAACTGGCAGCTGCTGGTGTCCTCAGGCGGCGGCGGCACCTCCGGGAGCAGCTGGGCCTCTGCAGAGGGCCTGCCGTCAGCGGGCAGGCTGGCGTCCGGCCGCCCCACCTCAGGGCACAGCGGACCTGAGCGCCACGCTCGCTGCCTCCTCAGCTGCCAGACGTGCAGGCCGAGCTGGGCCACGGCCAGGGCCAGAAGGCAGGCGCCCAGGACGACGAGGGCGGCGAGCGGGCAGGACGGCCCGGTGGGCGGCGGCAGCAGCAGGCCGCACACGGCGTTGTGTGTCTTGTTCCCGGGGAACACGGTGCGCAGGCCGGCCTGGGGGCAGCTGGGGCCCGGGGCCCAGGGACACAGAGCCCTCCGTCAGCCCCGGCCACCGGCAGCCCCTCCTGTGGCCGCTGCCCCCGAGCGGCCGGGGGTCATCACGCCAGGAGGCACGGGGGCCCCTCCCGCGGCGCCCCCCCAAAGGCCCCGCCGGGACTCACTCTGCCCACGGTTTGCAGTGGCCCTCGTTGTCCCCGGAGAAGGTCCCCTCGGCACAGTCGACACATGCAAAGCCGAAGTTGTACTCCCCTGCCGACGGGCAGATGGGCAGAAAGGCAGATGGACAGGCTGCCGGGCCCCCGGGGGCCCCACAAGCGTCCCCTCAGCCCAGGCCTCCAACGCCCGCGTCCCGGGCGCGGGAGAAGCCGGCGTCCGCGCACCCCGGTCCGGGGCAGGCGTCTGTGGGGGAGGCGGCCCAGGGGGCCAGGGGCCGCGACCCCGGCTGAGTGGGGGCTCCCCGGGGGCACGCAGGGAGGAGCGCGGCGGGAGGCGGGCCGGGGGCGGTGTGGCGGCAGAGGCCAGGCCGGAGCCCGGCCGGGCAGGCTGTGCTGGTCCAGCAGCTGGAGGGAGGAGGCCGGCGAGGGTCCCAGAGAGGGGGGCTGCGCTGTGCCCAGGCTCTGCCGCCGCCCTGCCCCACACGGCCGCCCCCCCGGGCGCGCGCTGCCCTGCTCCTCCCGCCCGCCAGGTGAGCAGCCCCTGGAGGGTCGGAGCTGCTCCTTCTGGAGCGGGTTGACCGTCCCACGCAGACGGTCAGGGTGGCGCAGCCCCCGCCTGCGGTCAGAGCCGGGCCTGAGGGCCCCGCACGCCCCGCACGCCCCGCTGCCCCGCACAGCCCGCCCGGGGCCATCCGCGCCTGCCGCCCCGGGGCGGGGGGCCCGGGCCAGGAGAGGGAGGGGCCGGCCCCGTGGCCGCAAGGCTGAGCAACGCGCGCCCCTGCCCTGAGGGCACACCCGTACCCCCACAGGCGAGCTTCCTTCCACACCCACACGCCCGCGCGGGGGCCGCTCCCAGGGCCGCCGGCGGTGGGACTCACCGTGGGTCTCCACCTGCTGGCCGGGCTGGCAGCGGTGGTGCTTGCAGGCCGTGCACTGGGGGTCCCCACAGTGGAACTCGGGCTCGAGACACGTGCAGGCCCTCTCCGGACAGGCCCCTGCTGGGTGGGAGACAGGCCGGCCCCCTGAGCGGCAGAGCCGAGCCCTCCCCCGCCCGCAGGGCCCTCCAGGGCGAAGGGCCATCAAGGCAGGGCAGCCGTCAGGCCCCACCAGGGGGCAGAGGGCACCTGTCTGGGAGCCAGGACACCTCCTTGGCCCGGCTGTGTCTCTGCCTCATCCGCCACCATGGCCTGGCTGCCCCCCGCCCCGCCCCCTATTTCTCTGCCTGAAGCTGTGGCTCAGCGTGTGACCAGGAACCGTCCCTGCCCGACAAGGAAGTGGCCTACGGCCGCCCCTCCGTGCAGGGAGCCAGCCGCCTGCCCCTTGCGGCAGTCTGCCTGTCCCCCTCCCAGGCCCACCCCCCAGGACCCCTCTGGCGACACCCTGTGGTGTCTGCCCTTTGATATGTGCCCCCAAGCAGGCACCTTCCACCTGCCCCTCACCCACAGCCCCAGGTCAGAGACAGCGGTGGGGGGTGGGGAGGAACGGGGCAGGAAGGGGCCTGGATATGGGCCAAGCACTCGTTACCCACTGGGTAGGAAGCGGGACCCCAGACCCGTCTTGGGAAAGGTTTCCACCCCCCTCGCCTCAGGCCGCCAGCGGGAAGGAGCTGGCGGCTCTCTCTTTCCGGGCTGGCGCTGGGGGCCCGCGCTCTGGACTGGAAAGTGTGCCCCCCCGCCTCGCCCAGGCCCGGTCTGCGCCGGCGGAGCGGGCGAGGCGCCGCTGCGCCCAGAGCCGGGGTCCCCCACCCCCCGCCCCGCCTGCGCGCCTTACCGGAGGCGCACGAGTCGCAGCAGCGCGCGTCCGTCCCGGCCCCTCTCAGAAGGCGCCCGGGGCCGCACCTCGGGTCCCCCTGGCCCAGGCCAAGCGCGCAGAGCAGCGCGACGCCCCACACAGCCGCCCGCGCACCCCTGGTCCCCATGGCACCGTCACCCCCGGGAGCTCCGGGGCTTTGAAGCGACGTCACGCCTCCACCGGACCCGCCCCGGAGGCCGGCACAGAGCCCCGCCCCTGCTACGCCCCAAGGGGGCGAGGGAAAGCGTTTCCAACGGGACCACCAACGCGCAGCGACTGAGAATTCAAGGGGCAGGCGGGGCGCAGGAGATGTGGGGACGGCGCAGCTTCTCCGTGAGTATCGGGGAGCGCAGGTCAGGACACGTCGGTGCAAACCACAGAACGCACAGCACCGAGGGCCCTAACGTGAGCGGGGTCCGTGGGCGACACAGGCACCCTCTGAGCGGACGTTGATAGAGGAGGCCAGTGTGCGGGGGTGGGGGCGGGAGGGGGGACCTCCCGATGGGAGGTCTCCTGTACCTGCCCCTCAATTTCTCTGGGAACCTAAAAGGACTGAAAAATAAAGCCTGTTTCTTAAAAATGTAGTGGGTCCCAGCCTCTGAGCAGGAGTCCCCTGACGCACGCTCCGGGCACATGCAGGGGTGGCCCGCGGGGGTTCCTGTGTTCCCGCCTGCCCTGTGCCCGGGAACCCCGCGCCCCACACCGCCCTGTGCAGCAGTGGGCAAGGCCGCGGTGGGGGTCTGCAGGGCTCTCTGTGCAAAACCTGTAGCCACCTGGTCTGAGAGACCCAGGTGTGGGCAGCAGGCGGGGCTCCGGATGCGGGTGGGCCCACAGGTGGGTTCTCGAGAGGGATTCCCGGCCCCACGCAGGCGAGACTGAGCCTCGCTGGGCCCCAGGCTCCCAGATGAGCCCCCTCCCAGCTCCAGCTCCCCTGGAGCCCCAGAGGGAGCCGGGGCAGGCCCTCGGCCCCATGAAGCCTCCAGGCCCCGGGGCCCACCTGCCCAGGGCCCGGCCACACCCGCCAGGCCCCGTGGTGAGCTCAGCTCCCAGCAGCCTGGAAGCCCATCCAGGGATAAGGACGAGCCCCCCGCCCGCTTCCCAAGGATTAGGAGGAGCTTCTCCCCGATTTGGCCAACCTGTCCTGGCAGGGCTCCAGGAGCTCAGGGTGCCCCCCACGCACCCATGGGCGCAGGCTGCGGACACCCTGCCCATGCCCAAGGGCCACAGGGGAGCCTTCGCCCCCCCAACCCAGGGGCTCCTCGGCATTGGGGGGCTGTGAGGAGGGCAGGCGAGGGGAGGCCACGGCACCAAGGGAAGCCCGAGGCCCCTGAACCCTGCCCGGTGGCCACGCTGACCACTGAGCGGCTCCAGCCCCGCCTCCCCAGACAGGCCTGGTCACCCAGAGGGTGCAGCGCGCCAGCGCCTGCCGGAGCTCACGAGCCACAGGGAACAGCTTCCGAGTCATCCTGGCAGCGTCCCTTTCCTGTCTGAGCCTCGGTTTCCCCCTGGGACCCTGAAGGGCTCTGGGGCCCAACTCCTCCAGGAAGCCCTCCCCGATCGCTCAGCTCTATTTCCCGGCCCTGCTGTTGGGGCTCCGCTGAGGGCAGCCGGTGAAGACGGCTGTGGGAGCCTATGGCTGGCGGCGCTCCGGGGGACCTGCAGGGCACCCGCCCTTTGTCTTGGAGAAATGACAGCAATTAGGGGGCTGTGACTCCGCTTTTGTTCTCGGGTCTCGGGGTGCATGAGCCGCTCCTCAGAGCCGGGTGTCCAGGCTGCTGGGGCCCCCGGCTGCCTGTGAGCCGGAAGGTACGGTGGGGCCGGTGGCCGGGGAGCCCAGTCCCCGTTCAGCTGCTAGCGGGGAGGCGGGCCTGAGCGCTGGGCCAGAGAGGGAGGCCGTCGGACCCTGCCTGGGCGCCAGGTAGAGGCGCCCTGAGTGGAGAACCGGCCACTGCTTGTTTTATAGGCGTGAGAGGCCAGGTCTGCACCAGCCTGTGTCTCTCAGCCCCGGTCGGCACCCAGAAAACACAACACGTCCCCTACAGCGATGCTTGTATGACTGTGGGCCGTGTCATTTGGCCCTTCTGGAAGCGGGGACAGTTGGAACCTTCCGGAATTGCTTCGCGGCGGCGGGGGGGTGCTGGGGGGTGCGAAGGTGGCAGAGGGGCAGCAGGGCTGGGCAGGGGTCGGCAGGAAAAGAAGCCGTCCACCGGCGAGGTGGGCAGGGGCCGAGCAGCTGGCCTCGCCTGCAGCTCCGCAGGCCCCACGGGGCCAGGCTGTGCGCTCAGAGGGCAGTCGGAACCTCCGAGAGGCGCGCGCGAAGCCAGAAAGCACCGGTGCCCACGTCTGCCTTCCTGTCCCAGCCGCCGGGGCGGTCCCCGGAGCGAGGGTGGCTTCCGCGACGGGCAGTGGGATGGAGGTGACTCTCCGCGTGTCGTATTTTCCAGCAGCTCACGAGCACTTGTGAGTCTGCATTGTTTACTCCACTTTCAGAAGCGACCCGTGTGCGTGGCGTGAGAGTCCCATGGGGGATTCTGGCATAAACCCGGGGGCTGGGGGTGGAGAGACGGCGAGGAGAGTTGTCACTCCACAGGGCCAGGTGGGGGGGGCCGGGGGGGACACGCCGGTGGGCACCTGGGGGCCCTGAGGCTGGGGCGTGGGATGCCCCGCGACGCCCAGGCTGGGGGCTCGGAGAGGAGGGCGTGGACAGGAGCAGCGTGGGAGCAACGAGGAGGGGACCCCTCTGTCCACGCGTCTGTCCCACGGTGGGCACAGAGCGGCCGGGCTCGGGGCGGGTTTGGGGAGGAAGCCCTTCCCCGTGACCTCCCACCTTCCAAACCCCAAGGTCCAGACCCTCCTTCAGGCCTCACGAAGGGGTCACTGTCCCCATAACAGAGGGGACAGCACTGTTTGTCCCTGGGGGAACTGCAGGGCCACGGCTCCCTGCCCTTTGCAGCCGGAGGGCCCGGGGCGGGGGTGCGCTGAGGCTGCGGCCGACCTAGGGCCCAAGCCGCCCCCGGCACACACACGTCGCCCGGCCGGCGGGGACTCCCGGTCAGGGGGGCTGGCGGGGACGGGAGCGGGAGGCGAAGGCGCACTCCGGCGCGGAGCGGCCCTCCCGAGCCCTCGCGGCCGCACCGAGTGTGCTGCAGCCACCGAGCATGCGCCCCGGCTCCCGCCACGGCTTGTGGTTTAGGTTATGTGGGCTGGTCTCATGCCACTTCCTGCCAGCATTTCCACGCTGGATCCCGGCTTCCTGTGCTCTTTCTGCCTTCAGCTCAGCGGAGGCAGGTGCCCGCCGGGAGGGAGGCTGAAGGGCACGCTGCCCGCGGCCGTCGCGGGTGGGCGCGGCGCGTCTCCTTCCCGGGGCGCCCTGTGCCGCTGGCCCGCGCTGGCCCAGGGGCCGGCCAAGGCCTTCTGAGCGTCTGACCAGGCCGGGTTTTCTCCGTCCCCCCGGCGGCCAGCGGGCGCCTGAGTTTCCCCTTCGGGACCCTTCAGCTCACGTCCCACCAGGCACCCCTAGTTTCCCCACGTGGCGTTTGATGCCCCACCTGCAGGGCTTAGGAGTGTGGCTGCCCTCGAGGACCCCGGGAGGGCACCGAGGGGCACTGGAGGCTGGGGGCCCGGGTGGGGGTCCGGGTCACCACGTGCTCATGGCGCAGGCGTAGGGTTTGAGGGGCTGGGCAGAGGGGCAGACAGCACTCAGGCCCCTGCCGGGGCAGAGGCGGACCGTCCTCAACGCCCCCTTTGACACCAGGGCCTCCGCTTCCCCTGCCCCATTAGCGCCTGGCCCAGGACCGCGGCCGGACCCCTCTGTACCCCCGGACCCCCTCTGCACCGGCCACGGGCCCCACGGTGGGGGCCTCGGCTCCCCTTGCCTGTGTTTAGGGTCTCGTCGCCCGATGGCCAAGACCTTTGCTTGGCCTTCACATCTTCCCACAGGCGCTGGATGTGCCCGGTCAACAGCGCGGACGGTGCCCCAGGGCCTGAGTGGCCCCCGGGCGCCCCTGCCCCACACCTGGGCCTCAGACACGCCCAGCCAGGTGGGCCGAGGCCCAGCCCCCGCCCCCATGGACGTGCAGCCCAGCCCCCAGGCGCCCAGACAGAGCCCTGCACTCGACAACGCCGTTTATTAGGGGGCCCCCCTGGGTGGAGTATGCACAGCATACATAGCAGAGCCCGGGGGCCAGCCCAGAAGCACCTAGAACGGCGCGGGGCAGGGGGCCGGGCGCTGGGGCACAGGGCGAGGAGCGGGGGGCCGGGGGCCGGCGGCCGGGGGCCGCTCAGATCTTGGCCAGGGCGGAGTGGGCATCCGAGTGCTCCTCCTGGACGGGGGTCCGGAAGCCGCTTCCTCCTGGCAGGGAGAGGGAGAGCAGAGGTGGAGGCGGGCGGGCTGGGGCCTGGGGGCGGGGGGCCTGGCGGGGCGGGCCGCACTCACCGGGGTGCTTGGCGCGGTGGGCCGGCGGCCTCCAGACCTTGTAGTGCAGGAGCAGGACCAGCGCGGCGGCCACGGGGGCCAGCAGGCCCAGGCCCAGCCCCAGGCCCAGGACGGCGGCCAGCTCGGGGCCTGCGGCGAGAGTGCTGCTGGGGGCGGCCTCCCGAGGGGGCCCCGGGGGGCCAGGGCAGCCCGCCCTCCCCCACCCGCTCCCCTTAGGATTGGGGGCCCTGCCGGGAGGAGGCCAGGCACCCTTACCCCTGGGAGGCTCTGCAGGGGGTGTAGCCGGCCCCTGGGAGGGCCTGGCCTGGGTGGGGGGGGGTCGGGCGGTGGAGGGCGGGGCTGGGGGGCCCGGGGTCTCCTCAGGCAGGGTGGCTGCGGGGGTCCTGCCCTCGCAGACGGCATCGGAGCTGTTGCTGCCGGCCCACAGAGTGCGCTTTCCCTCCAGGGTGCAGCTGGGGGGAGGGGTGTTGTCAGGGGCCATGGGGTCCACGCTGGGTGACCTTGGCAGCATCGGCTCCGGAAGGAGGGGGTGGGTGAGAGGGGCCAGGTCCCTGCCACCCCCAGGACGCTCGGCCCCGACCCCCCCGGGTCTCCGAGGCCGCGGCTCGGCCCGCGCCCCCTCCCTCCCTCTGCTCCCCGAGGCTCCTCCCGGGCCCCCCAGCTCCTGACGGCCTGCCCACAGTGGCCCAGCGGGCGCCTCTCACACTCCTGGGTCCTGGGTCCTGGGTCCTGGGCCAGGTGTCTGGGCTCCTCACAGCAGCCCAGCAGGAAGGCAGTGGGAGGAGGCCTGGCCCGGGCGGAGCCAGGGACGGGCCACCGTGGGGGACGGGGCCAGGCGCTCCCCCCGGCCAGGGCTGCTGCCCCCAGCCCCGGCCCCCGGGGCCCAGGCCGCTGAGTCCCCCGGCCCCAGACACTCACTTGGTCCAGGGTCTGCAAGCCTCGTTGTCGCCCGGGGAGAAGTGTCCTGCTGGGCACGGGGCACAGTCTGCGACAGGGACGGCGCAGGCTGCGGCGAAGGCTGTGGGGCCGCCCCCGCGGCCCCGCGGCCCCTGGAAGCCCCTCCCCTGCTCCCCTCGGCCCCTGCACCCACATCTCGGTTGACCCGTTAGGAGAGGGGCACTTGGCCCCACGAGGGGGAGGAGCGCGCGGGGCGTGGGGCCATCGACGGGCTCACCAACTCCGCGCTTGAAGCCGCCGCGGGGCTGGGTGCCGGGCCGGCAGCTGCACACGGTGTCGTTCGTGGCTGTGCACATCCGCTTGATCTCGCTCCCACTTCCTGGGGGAGGCCGCTGGTGGGCTGTGGGTCCCGGCCCAGCAGCCAAGCCGCCTCCCCCGGCCGGCGGCCCCCGAGGCTGCATCCCCCTGGTCACGTGGGCCGGGGACGGCCCTGTGGCAGCCTGGCCTCCCTCCCCGGCCTCCCTCCGGCCTGCAGGACCCTCCGTGGCCCGAGAGGCCACGTGGCCGACACGTGCCACACACACCCCGAGTCCACGTGGGCTCGGCTCCCTGGGAGGCGGAAGGTCCTCCTGGGGACCCCCGGGCGGAGCGCGCGGTTTGGGGTTTGCCCTGTGGCTGTGGGGGCCCCAGGAGCCTCCGGTGGAGGGGACCTGCGTGGGGCGGGGCCGGCCTTACTCTGGTTGCACTGCGTGCAGGGCTTGCAGGTGTCGTAGTTCACGGCCTCGTTGTAGAAACCCGGCGAGCACGGGAGGCAGACGGAGTCCTCCTGCCTGGTGCAGCGCCGCACCATCTGGAAGCCTGCAGGCGTCCGGGTCACCGAGCTGGCCCCCGTCCCAGGCCTGGCCCCCGGTCCCCGCCGCCCCGGAGCCGCCCCGGCGCCACTCCGCCCTGTGCCCAGGGCCCGCCCGTCCCGTGAGGGTGGCACCCGGCCCCACTGGCGTGCCCCTGTCTCCCCGCGCCCATGTCCTCACGGCCCCCGGTGCTGCGTCCGGCGGGCGCCCCCGCCCCCGCCGCCCGGCCAGGCCGCTCACCTGGCTCACAGTCCTGGCAGCACCTGTTGGCCTTGCGGTAGGTGTTCCCGACACAAACAAGCTGGTCGGCGGCACCCAGTGCGAGCCCCAGGAGCAGCAGGGCAGGGCAGAGCCCGCGGGGCCGCCCGGTGCCCACACACCTCTTCATCTCGCGGCAGCGCAGGAGTCTGGGGTTTCCTGCAGGATGTGGCTATAAAAGCTGGGGAGGAGGGGCGAGGCGGGTATGAGGAGGAGGGGACCAGAAGGACACCCCTGGACTGTTGTGGTCATTTACCTCACGCGCCTCGTGTGTCTTGTTCCCGGGGAACACGGTGCGCAGGCCGGCCTGGGGGCAGCTGGGGCCCGGGGCCCAGGGACACAGAGCCCTCCGTCAGCCCCGGCCACCGGCAGCCCCTCCTGTGGCTGCTGCCCCCGAGCGGCCGGGGGTCATCACGCCAGGAGGCGCGAGGGCCCCTCCCGCGGCGCCCCCCCAAGGCCCCGCCAGGACTCACTCTGCCCACGGCTGGCAGTGGCCCTCGCTGCCCCCGGAGAAGGTCCCCTCGGCACAGTCGACACATGCAAAGCCGAAGTTGTACTCCCCTGCCGACGGGCAGATGGGCAGAAAGGCTGGTGGACAGGCTGCCGGGCCCCCAGGGGGCGTGGACCCTACACGCATCCCTTCGGCCCAGGCCTCCAACGCCCGCGGGCCCGGGAGAAGCCGGCGTCCGCGCACCCCGGTCCGGGGCAGGCGTCTGTGGGGGAGGCGGCCCAGGGGGCCAGGGGCCGCGACCCCGGCTGAGTGGGGGCTCCCCGGGGGCACGCAGGGAGGAGCGCGGCGGGAGGCGGGCCGGGGGCGGTGTGGCGGCAGAGGCCAGGCTGGAGCCCGGCCGGGCAGGCTGTGCTGGTCCAGCAGCTGGAGGGAGGAGGCCGGCGAGGGTCCCAGAGAGGGGGGCTGCGCTGTGCCCAGGCTCTGCCGCCGCCCCGCCCCACACGGCCGCCCCCCCCCGGGCGCGCGCTGCCCTGCTCCTCCCGCCCGCCAGGTGAGCAGCCCCTGGAGGGTCGGAGCTGCTCCTTCTGGAGCAGGTTGACCGTCCCACGCAGACGGTCAGGGTGGCGCAGCCCCCGCCTGCGGTCAGAGCCGGGCCTGAGGGCCCCGCACGCCCCGCTGCCCCGCACAGCCCACCCGGGGCCATCCGCGCCTGCCGCCCCGGGGCGGGGGGGTCCGGGCCAGGAGAGGGAGGGGCCGGCCCCGTGGCCGCAAGGCTGAGCAACGCGCGCCCCTGCCCTGAGGGCACACCCGTACCCCCACAGGCGAGCTTCCTTCCACACCCACACGCCCGCGCGGGGGCCGCTCCCAGGGCCGCCGGCGGTGGGACTCACCGTGGGTCTCCACCTGCTGGCCGGGCTGGCAGCGGTGGTGCTTGCAGGCCGTGCACTGGGGGTCCCCACAGTGGAACTCGGGCTCGAGACACGTGCAGGCCCTCTCCGGACAGGCCCCTGCTGGGTGGGAGACAGGCCGGCCCCCTGAGCGGCGGGGCCGAGCCTCCACGGCACCGGTCACCCTGGCAGCTCTTGTGGGAGTGGGAGGTGATGCCAATCCTCCCCCTCAGCAAATGGCACCTGGAGCCCATGGGTAAACTGAGGCAGCACCCCAGGCCCAGCGACAGGCTCCGCGGTCTGGACCCTCTTCCAGCATCAGCCGCAGGGCAGCGGGAGAGCCCCCGGCTCCGGAGCACAGCCCCAGCCTGAGTCGCGGCAGCAGCCGTGTGGGTGAGCACGTCCACGGCTGGCATGCGTGCAGCCACGTCTGATGCAGCAGCCGTCAGGGACGACACTGTGCCCCCGAGTTCCTGTGGAAGCCCTGATCCCCAGGGGGGCTGTTTGGCGGTGATGAAGGTCAGATGAGGCCCCAAGGGTGAGGCCTGGCCCCACAAGGCCGGCACCCTTGCCAGGGGAGGGAGCAGCCCCAGGAGAGCCGCACAGGGGGACAGAGGCCTCGGGAAACCGGCCTGGCTGGCAGCCGGGTGTCAGGGGCCTAAGCCCAGGGCTGCGGACGAGGCACCGAGCACCTAAGGCGCCGTCCCGCCGATGGGCGGTGTTCTCGCAGGCCAGCCCGAGCAGGCCCAGCGCGTGCCGCCGGGCGGGCCTGCCGTCTGCCGGGCGTGGCGTGGCCCGGTGTCCGTGTGAGCGCGGCACGTGGCACTGGCTCCACACGCCAGGCCAGGGTGCGGCTGCTCCCGAGGGTCCCTGGCCGGTGTTTGGGGAGCACAAACGGCTCGCGGGAACGGCCTGCCCACTGTCCGTCCTGGGAGCTGGGGGGTCCCGAAGCTCGGCCCTGGGCGGCCCGAGGTCAGGCGCCGGCCACACGTGTGCGAAGGGGAACGGAGCGCGGCACAGGCATGCGCACGCATCTGCGATGGCTGGGCTGGTGGCCAGGGAGGTGTCCCGGCCTGTTTTTGTAGCGTTTAAACCAGGCCCCTTGGCACAGCCTCGCCTCACCTGACAGCTAATTTAAGAAGTTTCAGGCAGAGAGGCCTGGAAAGTCCCCTCCTCCTGAGACACTCAGGTACACGCTGCTCCCGGCCCACCTGTGGGAAATCCCCGGGCTCTGCGCTCAGGAAGGCCAGCGCTCCTGAGCCTCTGGAGCGGAAGGGTCCCTGCGGGGTGGGGGGAGGGTGTCCGCGAGCCTGGCGCACATGCGTGTGTGTGAGCGTGCGCCCCTCTCCTGTTGACGGAGAGAGAGGTTTTTCTGGCCAAAGAAAGAAAACTGCAGCCCCGGGCGCGGTGGGCAGCGCCCTCTCCTCCCCAGGCCTAATGCGGGGCCCCTGCCCTCGAGCTTTGGGGTGTGTTGCAGGGAGTCCCACAGGCCTGGCCCACCCACGGGGCGCGGGCCCAGAGGTGACCCTGGGCACGGACAGCCACACGCCGCTGCGGGGTCGGCCTCCCCAGCGGGCCCAGCGGCCGGGCAGGCAGTCCACATCCTGGCCTGAGCTCACACCTGCGCCAGCGCACGCCTGCCCACCCGCGGGGCCCGGCCCACCCGCACCTTCCTCCCACCGCGGCTGCCAGCTCCTCCGGTCTTAGTTTTGAAAACAGTTTTTGCTTTGTTTGTCTAGAAACCCAGGTGTTACCCCGCCCGTTCCTCTGGGGCGGCCCGGACCCCGCACTGCTCGGAAGTGGGTCCCTGTGGCAAGCGCTGGTCACGTGAGCGGCTCAGGGCCCCCCGCCCGGTGAACTGCGCCGGGCACCACTGGCTGCGAGGGAGCCGGCGCCAGGACCCACCAGCAAAGCCCTGGCACGGCCGGCCCCCAGGAAGGCGTGGGTCGGTGGCCGAGCTCCACGGAGCGGGCCTGCGCACAGAGGGCAGCCTGGCCTGGCCGCAGCCCACACTGTCCTTCCCGTCCTCGGGTCTCAGCCCCCTCGAGCCCCTCCTCGCTCCCCGACGCCTCCCAGCCCTCAAGCAGCGGCCAGGGCTTGTCCTCTGGTGTCCCTCTGTACCAGGAACTCCCGTTCCCTGCCGGCCCCGAGGGTGGACCCCGCCCCCCGCCACCGCGTAGGCACGGGACTCGTGTCCTAACCAACTGCCCACCTTGAAACATCAAGGGGAGGCCATCTGGCCACGTTTATCCCAAACTATCGTTTGTGTTTTGGTCCATTGAAAAAATAAAGTGGGGAGAAAGAGGCAACTATATTTTAAAGTAAGTTAACGTGGTTCGCGCCACGAGTGCGTGTTTCCTCAGAGGCTGAACCCTGACGGCAGCTCCGGTGGCCGCCCGCCCGCCCGCCCGCCCGCCCACCACTGCGACTGCCGCCCCGGTTCCACCCGAGCACGGCTGCGGGGCCTCAGCCTTCAGCTTCGAGGAAGCCGGGCGCTGCGCTATTTCCCACGGTGCGGCGAGCCCACAGGCCCTGATGTGGTCAGAGCCCCGCGGCCCCGAGTTCTCAGAAGCAAGATGCTGTGATTACGCGGCCGGTGCGCCCGCCACGCCCTGCTGACGCCCAGCGGCCGCGGGCCCAGCTCAGAACTCCTCGTGCACGTTGCGGGCGTAGTCCATGAGCTTGCTGCCTGTGAAGAACTCGCTGTACTTGAGCACCTCCTCAGGCTCCAGGTGGCGGTTCTGGTTCTCGTCCGCGATGGCGATCATCTGCTTGGCCTCGTTGAGGGCGTTGTACTCGTTCATGGGGTCCATGTACCCCTGCAAGGGCCCCGTGCCCGTCAGCACCGCCAGCCGTGCACCCGCGCCGCCCCCAGAACGCGCCCGGGCAGACGCCGGCACAGGGCCCGTGCCCTCGGGAAGCAGCGGGGCTTTGCTCCCGCGCGGGTCCCCAGCCTCTCTACAGTGCCCTGTCGGCTGGGGTCCGCAGACAGGCATGCAGGCGTGTCCTGGAAGGTTCTGGAAGGCAGATGCCAGGCTGGCAGTGGCTCAGGGCCATGTGGGCTCTGTCTCTGGGGGCGGGAGCGGGGCGGCCTCGCCCCGTGTAGAGCAGGGGCCAGTAGGCCACGTAGACACAGACTGAACCAGCCACCAGGTGCGCGGCGTGGACAGGAACCCCTAACCCAGAGCTGCCTGCAAGCTATCACCAGGGATCCGAGAATTCTCGTGTAACATGAAATGACTCACCCAAGGCAGGAAAAACAAGCTCCCCAGCCCCGACCCACGGAGGGGCACACGCCGCACCCGTGTCCCCGGCCGCCTGCGGCCCGGCGGCCCCTCCGAGCCAGGGCGGGCCGGGCCGGGGGACAGGCATGGCGGCTGCCCTGCCGGGTGCTGGCTGGGGGCCCCCGGAGGGCCGGCCGTCAGACGGCTCTGCCAGCTCCGCCGCCCTGGCTCAGGACCAGCCTGCAGGCGTCTCCCCGCGCCACGGCCACGCCCCCAGGGCGCCCTGCGCTCACCTCCAGCTCCGCCATGGTGACGATTCCGTCGTGGTTGGCGTCGATCAGCTCCTCGAACTCCTTCCTCCGGTCCCTCACCCAGCTGTCGTCGATGTCCTGGCCCTGCTGGTTCTCCACAGTGCCCACGGGCAGGGAGATGAACTCGGGCAGAGAGAGCTGCTTGTCACCGTCCTGGTCTGCGGGACAAGGGGGTGCTCAGGCCTCAAGCAGGCGCAGGACCCCTAGGACCACCGAGCAGGGTCAACCGAGGGGGTGTTGCTGCTGGATTTCCAGCT